TTAATGAGAGGTTGAACATTAATATTTATATTAGCTTGAATATTAGCCTCATCAGTCTACCAGGTCTTAAACTGTAAAAATTGAGAGAGATAAATAAGCTCGGGTTAAAGTAACCCAGTCTATAGGAAGCAACCGAAATTGCCATGCTTCTAAATCTCTTTTCTCTCGCCTGTTGAATTTCTGCCTGAATGGAACCGGTTACCGTAGTTCTAGGAGTAACACACGGCAACAGAAAGTTTCACCTTTGAGGTAGCTTCCAATTTCTTTAATGGAGAAATATTGGGAGGATTGGCCATCCCTCAGCAAGATACTGAGGTGGGGGCTGATGGGCACAGCTTTTCTTCATTTGACTTTTCATCCTTTTGCTCTATACTTTCTCCGCATACTTCATCATACTCCCCTTCCCCTCGTGAATCTTCTTCCTCGTCGTTCCTCTGAAACGGCTCTAAGGCAAAACGCACTAAAGCCCAAACAGACCACACTAAATAAGCCTCGAGTTTGCTTGATCTTTGTCCCAGGTTATCCTAATAGTACGTACCGAGCTTCCCCAGCTCACCTTGGGAGATTTTTTCAAGAGTTCTTGGGATACTTCCTAGCTCCCCCAGCTCACCCTGGGAGATTTTATTAAGAGTTCTTTGGCTACTTCCAGGTTCCCCCTAACTTACCTGGGAGATCCTTTCCAGAGTTCCTGGGCTCCTTCCGAGCTCCCCCAACCAACTCTAGGGATTTTTTCTCAAGAGTACTCGGGATACCTTCAGCTTAGTTTCTCCTTTCTTTGTTCCTCAGGTGACCTTTCGTCCTGGGTTCGAGCCTCACATCTGGGCACCACTTACTGAGACCAGCTCAGCTGTAGAGACCCCCACCCAAGTGGTGCTGAAGGCATTGAGAAGCAGACACCCAAATAGAACAACAAAGTGGGACTATCCAGGGGACCGATGGTCTTCCGAGCTGACAGCCTCAGAGGGATGACAGCATTCCGGGCTGAAGGCCTTGAACAGATTCTGACCCACTTATTCTCTCTGAACAGGTGATTATTATTAACAAAGGGGTGTTCCTCATAGAACCATGATAAACTAGGGAGGCAGCTGGTGCCTGCTTACCACTGATACTTGAAAGTATTCTCCACAAGGGAGCCATGGGGGCAGGGTCACATATCCCATGCTTAAAGAATTGTTTTAACAGGTGTATGATTTTTATATATTGTCCTGCCACTTTAGAATGCCCCAAATAGTTTTCCACTTGGTTGGGTGGGGGTAGCTAGGTTTTTCTTGCCGTCGTTCTTCCTAGCAAACAATATATTCTATCACACATTCAGCATTTCTCAGCAGTCATACACTTAGCATTTCTCAACTCTAGCCAACAGTTGGTATGGTCAGGCTTTTCAAGTTTAGCTATTTTAATAAATATTCGGGAGTATCTCCTTATGGTTTGGTCTCCATTTCCCTAAATGACAATGATTACAAGCATCTTTTCATGTGCATTTGCCATCTTCATATCTTTTTTAACTTTTAGAGATGGTCTCACTCTGCCACCCAGGCTAGAATGCAGTGGCATGATTATAGCACACTTCAGCCTTAAACCCCTGGGCTCAAGCAATCCTCCTGCCTCAGCCTCCTGATAAATTGAGACCACACCATGATACCCAGCTTCATAACTTCTTTGGTTAAGTGTCTATCTCAATCATTGCCTATGTAAAAAAATCAGGTTATTCTCTTGTCTTGAGATGCCTTTATATATTCTGAATACAAGATCTTTATTAGATGTATGATTGGCAAACATTTTCTCAGAGTCAGTGATTTGTCTTTTAATTATCTTAACAGTACCTTTCTAAGACTATACCTTAATTGGTCTTTGAAAATCCAATTTATCAATTTTTACTTTTGGAGATTATTAATTTGGTGTCACATATAAAAAATCTACCTCAAGCTCAAAGATCTTTGACTTATCTTGCAGGTTTTTTTGTTTGTTTTAGGTTTTACATTTAGGTCTATGATCCACTTTGAGTTTATTTTTGTAGATGGTATGAAGTATGCATCAGGGTTTTGGTTTTTGTTTTTGCATCTGCATTCCAGCACAGTTTTTTGAAAAGTTTATCCTTTGTCTATTGAATTACCTTTACACATTAGTCAAAATCATTTGACTATATATGTGTGGGTGTATTTCTGGACTACATTGTGCTACAGTGATCTATGTGACTATGTTTATGCACTTTCCCATTATCTTAATAGCTTTATAACAAGTCTAGAAATTACAAAGTGTAAGACCTCTACTGTGCTGCTTTATTTTCACAAAGTTGCTTTGGTTATTCTATATCCTTTACATATTTCCAAATTTTAGTATCAGGTTAACAAGTTCTACACAAAAAAAAGCCTACTAAAATTCTTATTGGGATCTTGCTGGATCTACAAATCAATGTGAGAGAAACTGACACTTAACAATAGTAAGCCTTCTAATTCATGAACATGGTATCTCTCAAGTTTACTTTCTCAGCACTGTTATGTAGAATTCAGAGTACAGGTCTTGAATATATTGTATCAAATTTACACTTATGATCTCATTTTTATGCTACTATATTTTTAATTCCATTTTCTGATTGTTGCAAGTATATGGAAATGCAATTGAGTTTTGTAGATAGATGCTGTATCCTTTAACATCATTATTGTTATTAGTTTTTTCATGTATTCCATTGGATTTTCTATGGTCAAATATGTCATCTGTGAGTGGAGGCTTTTTAAAATTCTTATTCCTTTGTAATCTGGATGTTGCTTCTTTCTTTTTCTTGCTTAACTGCCTCAGCTAGAAACTCTAATAGAATGTTTAATAGAAGAGAACATCATATACATTTGCTTCGCTTCTGATCTTAGGAAAAAAAAACATTCAGTTTTTCAGGATTAAGTTTAATGTTAGCTGCTGGGGTCTTTTGGATGCCCTCTATCTGGTTGAGGAAGTTCTCTTTTATTCTTCCTTTGGTGAGTTTATATCGAGAATGAACGTTGAGTTTTATCAAATGCTCTTTCTGCATTTATTGAGGTGATCACATAATTTTCCTGTTAGTCTATTTAATATGGCAAATTACAGTTGATTTTTAATGTTTGCCCAAATTTGCATGCTTGAGATAAACCTCACTTGGTCTCTTTTACCCATCACTGGATTCAAATTGTTAAAAAAAAAAAGTCTCATTTAGAATGTTTACATCTGTCTTCATCACAAATATTCTTGTGTAATCTTCTTGCCATGATGCTGCCTTATTTTGGTATGAGGGTAATGTGCTCTCACTATTTCCTGGAAACTTTTGTCAAAATTTGGGATATTGTCTTCTTTTAATCTTTAAAAGAATTCACCAGTGTAGCTATTTTGGTTTGGCATCTTATCAAAATGTCTACAGAAATTGTGGTTATGTCACTTTTCTCATCCCCAATATTGGTAATTTTGTCTCTTTTTCTCATTAGTCTGGCTAAAGGTTTATCATTTTTGTTGATGTTAAGGAAACAGAAGAGAAGCAGAGTGGCTCATATCTATAATATCAGCACTTTGGGAGGTTGAGGTGGATCACTTGAGGCCAGGTTTGAGATAAGCCTGGACAGCCTAGTGAGATGCTGTCTACAAAATTTTTTTTTTTTTAAGTTTTAAATTGCATTGATTTCCTTAACTGATTTTGTTTTCTCTTGTGCTGATCTCTTTATTCTTTCTTATTTTGAGATTCATCTGCTGTTATGTTTCTAATTTCTTAAGGTGGATGCTGCACTGAGCATAGTGTCATGTGCCTATAGTTCCAGCTACTTGGGAGGCTGAGGTGGAAGGATTCACTTGAACCCAGGAGTTCAAGGCTAAAGTGAGCTATGATATGATCACTTCAACCTAGACAACAGAGTGAAATCCCTGTCTTTAAAAGAAAAAAGAAAAAGGTGGAAGCTGACATTAACTGATTGAGATCTTTCCTTTTCGAATCTATATATTTAATGCTATAAATTCCGCTGGAAGTACTGTTCTAGCTGATTCCTACAAACTTTGACATCATCTGTTTTCATTTGCATTCTGTTCAGTATAAAGCAGGTTTCTTGTATTCAAAACAGATGGATTAAAAAAAGCAAGATTCAACTGATCATAAATTTACATTTAATTATCCCTATAGCTATTTAAATCTACCATTTTAGTGTTTACTTTCTATCTGTCCCATTGACTCTTTGTTCCTGTTTCTTTTGGAATTTTAAAATCACATTTTATCACCTTTTACTGGCTTTCTAGTTATTTATTCACTGTTTTTCTTTTTGTGGTTGCTTTAGGTCTTATAATACACATTCTTATCAATTTACTTTCAGGGAATGTTGTACCGCTCCATAGTCAGTATAACAATCTTAGAGAAGTAATAATTTTGTTTCCATCATCCCAATCTTGGTATTGTCATATATTTCACTTCATATATATTAACAACCTAGTATCCTATTATTATTCTTTTGCTTTAAATATTCTAGTGTTTTAAAGAAATTTAAAATAGAAAAATAGCTTTTATATTTACTCACATATTTACCACTTTTGGTGTTCTTCATTCCTTTGTATAGCTGCAGATTTCTATTTGGTATAATTTCTTTTTAAAGGCATTCTTTATCATTTCCTATGGTGCCAGTCTGCTTGTGATAAACTCTTTTTTTAGCTTCTCTAGGTCCATTTCACTAGCTATAGAATTCTAAATTGGGCTTTTCTTTCAGTACTTTAAAGATGTTGCTCCAGTGTCTGACATTCTTATCTCTGTCCTGCTATGTCTTTTCTCTCTAGCTGCTTTTAAGAAGTTCTCTTTGTTGCTTGTTTTAAGAAATCTGATTATGATGTGGCTTAGCACAGTTACTTCTTGTGTTTGGGTTTCACTGAATTTCTTAGGTTTCATTTGTTTCTCTCAAGGATCAACATCTGACAACCATTTCACATATTTTTTCTTTCTTTTATTTCAGGTGGGAAAGTAAATCTCTCATGATTTTGGCCGACGACAAAATTTCAATTTCAGGTTTCCTATTTTTTGCATATAAAATTTTATTTTTTATACTTACTTAGCTTTTAAATTCCATGACAAAAATTTTTCATCTATACACATAATTACTAAAATTATTTTATCCCACCTCTTTTAATACACATTATGTGCATTTATTTTTTAAAAAGGCAGTAAGAAAATATTAATAGATTTAAATACATGATGTAGGCAAAACACACTAATATTTATGTCTTCTGAACCTGTTAGATAGTAATATACAAGGAAACTTGTTACAAGTCATAATGCTTTCATAATCTGTCAGGAAAAGATCACATTAACATCCCTATATGCTTCAGTACAAATGTATTCTATAAACCACACTGGGAAAAAGTAATAATCCTGTTTTTATTTTTAGAAGTAATTATTAATAAGTTTATGCTTATTAAATGTATCCTTAAAAACTTCTATCACTTCAGAAACCCATAAAGTTAGTAAGCTAAGCTAGAGGTTGTTTTTTTTTTTTAATTTTGGTAAATACTTTCATCGCAGAAGTCAAAATGGGGCAGGAGAACTATACAAAGGTACATAGTTTAAATTTTTGGGACAAGAGACAACAAGAAGGTGAACAAGTCAGTGGCCCTCCCAAGCTTACATTTAACCTAAAATTGTAGATTACAGTAGGTAGATGTATACATCTAACTACTGCCAAAGAGGTATAAATTATTTTGACAACCTTTCTGAATAGTTTTATAGTAAGGCAAATAATATAAAAATATTATACACAGTACACAAAGAATTAGATAAAGCAATAGTACTGTAATATTTAGTATCTAATATGGAATCCCCACTCATTGTAAGTTGTCATGTTGACTAAATTTTACAGCACAATGTTTCATGCTAATGAGATAATCAGCAGATAGATAGCTCTTGTCAAGTCCTATGAACCCTTAAACATTTTTCATAGGTAAAGAGATCTAAAAAAAATACCACCCAGGAGTAAAGATTTGTCAGATGTACAATATAGTAACATAAATGCAAAAGATATCATGTAATTTGTGCAATTCAAAATTCCAAAAATTATCTTATTAAATGTACAATAAATAATAGTCATACTTGACTTCATCAAGTTAACAAAATAATTATTAGCCAACCCTATGCTTTATTAGTAATAGCTTAGAAACATGAACTGTCATTTAAAAATTACTTTCTCCATAAAAATAGAAGGCATATCAAACACTTTAAATCTCAACTAGCCCAAAAAATTTGAAAGGCCGTCTGTCAATCAAAAATATATGTTTAAAAAAAGATGACTAAAACACAAACATAACCAATTTTGAGGACCAATTTTCTTCTCTTACGAAAAAGGGCACTTAGTGGATGGCTAAAGCTTTCAAAAAATAAAGATCCTGTTGACTTTCCTATTGGGTAGATAACATACTGTACAATTTTTATTATAAAAATATACATATTTTTAAAGTGAAAACAGTGGTTGGTGTAAAATCCCATCACCCTTTTACTTTTACCTGAAAATAAAATCTCTTCCCTGGAGGCCATGAAAACAATACTGATTCTATGCAGTTCTGTGTTCCCAGAAACTTCCCAAATTACAGAACATTAAGGTATTCACTGAAATTTCAAAAGTGGGCCCGTAGTCTTTTGTTTTCTTCTCGTAGTCTTTCAATTTCAGCCACTAAACCTTCATTCACTGAGTATCTTTCCAGCAAAGAATGCATTTCATTCTAGAAAAAGGGTAAAATGCCTTTTAAATTACTGATATTTCACATTTATTTGGCAGTCTATGTTTTACATACTTTCAGCTATCATTTTGCTCATGTTCAATTAACTAAGTGAATGATATTTCTTGTACTTAACTCTTACTACTTTGTTAATATAAATGGAAGATCACTGGTAAAATTAATATATTTGGAAAATTTATATTTGCACATTTAAGATGCTTTTTGCTTACTCATCAGGAAGAAAGCCATGGGAAAAAGAAGCTTTAACTATCTCATAGGTCAAAAGGAGGTGACCAGTGAAAATCTATTTTACTTATTTAATGTCTAAAACACCCTATTTATTTTAAAAATTAAATAAAACAACTAAAATAGATCACCTTTAATGGATTTTTTAAAATTCACACAACTCTACTTTCATTTAAAATAACATTCGTCATACATACCAGTTGCATATGAAACTGTTTAATCATCTCCACTTGCAAATTCACAATGTCCCTATGGCATGCTTCTCTAGGAAGAATGTAAAATACATTTTAGAATTACAATAGTTTAACCAATTCTAATTCATTCAAGAAACTCAAAAAACTTTTTCATTTGCCAAATTACTGAATATTAATAATTATTATAATATAAAAATACCAATGCACTGAGCATTTATTTACTATGTGCTAGGTACTGTTTTACTTTAAATGTGAGAACTCATTTAAAACATCTTCACAAGTAGGTGCAATTATTACCTCTATTTTACCGAAGAAATAACTGAGCCACAGAGCAGTTATAACTTGTCCAAAATCACACAACCAGTAAATGATGAAGGTAGGATGTAAACTCAGGCTGTCTACCTACTGAATTCCCCCATACTATATTCTTTCATATAGAAATTGTCATTAAGACACAAACTTATATTACAATGAAATACGAAAAATTCACTAGGTTAGAAAGAGCATTTTATTATCAGTTTAGCTATTGAAAAAATGTACTTTCAGTAGAAAGTGGCAATTTGGGTGGTTATAGCATGGCTGACTCAATAAAATGCAATTAATTCATTCCTACAAAAGAACATATAAAAATTATGAAATATAATGATAAAAAAACACTCAGTCACCCACCATTCAACTTATGAACTAGAATGTCACCAAATCATAGAAGCTTCCTGTGTGTTCCTGATTCTCACTTAACTCTTGGTGGTAAGCCCAAGAAAGAAGTCATTACCCTCCTGAATTTTGTTGGACAAAAAAAGTTCTTTTTTAATATCCTTGTATAACATATAATCTGTAGTCAATGTTTTCATTGTTCTTGAGCATTTAAGCTTTACAAAAAAGGGTAACATATAGCTTATTTTTAAGGAAGAATTCAATATTGTTTTGAAGATTCATGTTCCATATATCTGTAATTCACTGGTTTGTATTGGTGTATCCATATTCCTGTTAAAATTTTGATTGTTTTAAAGTTTTTATTATTACAATGTCATAATCAATCATGTATTATCTCCCAACTCACATGGGCCAATGTCCATCGATGACATACACTCAAGAGTATACTCCCTTTTACAAAGTCATGCAAATTGTTTTTCAAAGGTAGTATCAATGGACATGTTCATCACCAGTATAACAGAGTTCTTCTTGCTCTATATCATCATCAAGACTTAGTATTACCAGATTTCTCATATTTTCCCATTGAATGGGAAATGGTATCTCATTGCATTTTTAGTTCTCTGATTATGAGGCTGAGTATATTTCTTGTTTTCATATACCATTCCTCTTCCTTGAAATGCTTTTCTTATTCATTTATAAGCATTATTTACATAATCTGATCCCTTTTTATATGAGAACTGCAGATATCTTCTTATCCCTTCACTCTGTGATATACTGTGATGAACAGTTGTTATTAATGTGCTCAAATATCCTAACCTAATCATGGCAGTCAACTTTACCAATGTACTTTGATAGGTAGTGCATTATTTTGCTTTAAATGATTTCCTACCATGAAGTTATAAACTCTTATGTCAACTTTATACGAAAAATCCAATGTCACAACACAATTTATTATTTCATATTTTGCACACAAATCTGCAGTGCTACCTCTCTATCATTTCCATATATGCATAGGTTTCTTTCCAGCTTATATGATTCCTCTGGCCAATATGTCCTCCCTGTGCCATGCTATATATCTTAATTACACTTTAATGATTAAGCACATTCATCTGACAAGTCCCCTTCAACCTTATTCTTCTCTGAAGTGTCTTGGTTATTCCTAGATTTTTTTTCTTCCATACATATTTTGGAATCACCTCAACATCTTCTTCCAAATCCCAGCTGGGATTTTAATTGGAATTGCATTCAATCTACCGAACTACTTAGGTGAACTGATATCTTTATAAAATCTCTCCATTTATTTAAATGTTAATTCTTTTGAACAAAAAGTTTAAAAATGTTTTTCTACAAAAATCTTCACTACTTTGGTAGATTTATTCCCAGGTATCTTATTGTTTTTCTGTTGTAACAGCAAGGCTTTCTTAAAATTTTCCTCTTCTACTTTCAGTGATAGTAAAAACTGCATTAAAAACAAAAACACTGTATCAGGGAACCACCAAGGTAGCCAGGACGTCAAGAGCCATGGTCTTGCAAAGAAGGAAAGACTACTAGGTAAGCACTACATTTACCTCTGTTTTCCTTCTAGAGTATGTGCTGATTCCACAGTGTGGAGAAGAAACTGAGCTGAAGCAGTGGTCTGGAGGTTAAGATAGTCTCACTAGGTAGGGAGTATTAAGAGTTTGGGACTACCAAGGTAGCCAAGGCTGTAAGAGTCAAGATCTTGAAGAGGGGAGGCCTGCAGAAAAGCAAGCCTGAAACCGCAATTTCCCCTCGAGATGTCTGTTGATTTCTAAGCAATGCTCGCCCTGGGTTAGATGCCAAAAAGCAACCATAAAACAAGCAACTCAAGAGCAGAGAAAGTAATCTGGAAGTCTTGTGATGCTGGCAAAATAGAAGTTAAAGTTTAGGACCCACTAAGATAAAAAGAATACTCCAGACATTCAACTCATGTCCTAGAAGAGCAAAGACTACACACTAGGAGTAGAGGCAAATCAGAAACAAACTAGTGCTAAGAAAACCTGAAACCTAGTAACTACAGGATCACAGGGATCTGCTTACTGAAAGAAACTTACATCTTCTTAATGGACAACAGAAACAGACACACAGATTTCTACTTAGGATGTATTAGGTTGGTGCAAAAGTGTAATTTCTCAACTCTAAGAATGAAAACAAACCTGATAACCTATAAAATCATAATATTTTAAATTCAACTGAGAGCTTAAAATGGAAAGAAATCTACATGAAGTAAATTCCAGAAAATGAGGAGTTCCTCCTAGGAGAAAAAGAGACCCATGACTGTTTTCATCATCTTCATGCCCTTGACAGAATAAAAAGAACTAACTGAAATTTTAACAAGATTTTTAAAGGCCAAGTAAACACTGGCTTGATAGTTTAGAATTCCAAGGGGTCTCAGCCACAAAGAAAGTTTGAATTTACTCACCAACTTTTTCCCACATGCCTTCATTCAGCACTCATGTAAAAAAAAAGTAGGGATAGTATAACAGGAGGGCTGAGGGAAGACACCCTAAGACACAGATGCACAGAGCCTGGTGAAGCCCTAGGGCAGGGGAGGAGAACTGAGAGTAACCCCTCTAAGGCACTCTCAGAGAAGATGGCAGCCACCCCATACTGCTCAGGGAGGATGGCTGAGAAAGAGGCCCTTAATACCTTCTCTGTCCTGTCAATGATAGGTATAGCTGAACACCTAATCTGATGAACACCTGGACTGATGGCAGAACAAGTAAATTTAAAGAAATCCTCTGAGCCACTCTAGGTCCTCACTGAGTCCCAGGCAAAGGCTGCCGATGGTCCAGGGGCAGAGGAGCTGAGAGAAGTCCCTACCCATCACCCCCAGGTACAGACATGCAGGGTAGGGCAGCAGAACCAAGAGGCACTGTAGGCCTTCACCACACATGCTGAGGCAACTCTCCAGGGCTGGAAAGGGGGCAGACACACTTCTCTTGAACAGAAAGCCAGGAACAGACGAGAGTGAAAAAAACCTCCAGCCGCCCCTAAAGCTGGCAGCTGGGCAGTAATGCACAGCTATTTCAGAGTTGCTCCAGCATCCAGATCCCCAGGACTGCTGAAGGAAAGGCCCTGAGCCCACTGTCCTCAAATCATCTGAAGCCAGTGGTGAACTGACACCCAAATGCTTCTTGAATAAATGGATAATAAACAGACAACCCCCATTACCCCTGTGCTTAAAAAACTCTGAAGGCTCTCCATTACCTGTGTGTTAAGACCTTCACAACTGTCCCTCAGGCCTCATCTCTTACCATGGTGCCTTCTTTCTGTAAACATTCCTAGAATGTATGATCATGTCTCTGCTCAAGCTGTTCCCACACACTTCAGTATAAAATAAAATCTCTTCAGTGGCACCTTTCTAATCTGCCCCCGCAGAAGAACTGCTCCCTTTCTGTGATTTCAACATCACTTTGCACACATTATATTATAGTCAGCTGTGTCCAGACAGTTCTGCTATTATGCCATAAATATTTATGCATTCCTGAAAAAAACATATATTCTTTAACACTGTGTATGAAAGGTAACAGAACTTAGAGAAAAAGGATTAGGGCAAACCACTCAAAAACCTATGCAGCTTTGTAACCAAAGTAAAACAAAAACAAATCCTAATAAAAACACTGACATAGTTAAAAAGACATAGTAAATGTCTAATAGATAAGTATTGAGTAATACCCTTACTGTGAACAAGTGATGGCCACTTAATGGAAGGGAACAGAAGATAGGATTGGGGCTATCAAGTTACAGAGGCAAGGGCAAAATGCCCAAAGATGGGAAATAATCACAAAATAAGCACTTCTAACACAGGGCACACAGCCGAGCCAAGAGGAAGTGAATAAAGAGATGGATGCTAATGGGGTTTGTGCATTCAGCTGTGTTCACATGTACCTTATTTTGGCTGCTGTTACATGAACAAACAAAATTTCCTCATCATATTGTCAACATTGTCCTGTTTTACTGATCTCAAATGAATTAATTCACATTAAGAGAAATACACATAGCAGAACACACTGCACCTAGCCCAACTAAATCATAAGGCCGTTATAGGCAGATCATTCATTTCTGTATCCTTATTATCTGGTACATATATACTAGGCAGGGTAAATGCCAAAATTATAATTTTTCTTTAAAAAGTATTTTCAACATTTACAAATATATTTTAAAAATATTTTTAAACATTAAAAGGAAACATGCACCAACAAAAACTGCACATCTTCTCCGACATTCTTGCTTACGGTAATCAAAATCTCAGCTAGAACATTATAGGTTAGGAAGGAAAAAAAGGCACCAATGATTTTAATAATTGAAGATAGCTTCCAAAAATATGGAGATGATAAAGCAGCATTACAGAACACATTTTTATAATGTTCATAATTCAAAGGATAAGAAAGACAAGGGCAAATCTGAGAAAGTATTTTTAGATTAAGTATTGCATTTTATTTGAAAATATTCAGAATTGCTCTTTAAAATATCTTTTTCTACTACATTATTGCACATAGCACACCTAATAGTTGATCTCTGAACATATTGCAGGTAAGAACCCAATTTGAGCTTATCAGAACTTGTCCACATTTTATAATAAAAAAAGTTCACAATGGTAGTCTGCCTGCTAGACTGCCCCGCTGAGTTATCTAATAACTTCCGTAGGTAAATGTGCCTTTTCCTGGCTCATAATCAATAAATGCAGTATGAAAAGATCAACACAACTCATCATGTTTTCTGTGGTTTTAGGGTTACCAGAACCTAGACAATAGTAACCAACAACATTATCTATAGCTCTGATTTTAGATCTAGGAAAAAAAAAAGTAAGGTCTAGATAGAAGGAGTAGTTTCTCAATTACTACCTAAAGTCATCCAATGTTTCCTGTATCATGTTCTGAATAAAATGAATTTGAATGGAAGTCAATGGTGCATTTTGCCGGTTATTTCCAATGGTATCAGCTATTTTTTCTGAGAGTGAACTGGCAACTCCAGCAGTGACAGAAGATGCTACCTTTGGATCTAAAATAAAGAATGAAGAAAATATTAATAGTCAACTTAGATTGAGAGACATCAGACATTTCTAAATAAGATCTGAAATCTTGAAAAACTGGCAAAGAAGAGTTCCTGTGACACTTGGAAAAATTCACTGTCTGGAATACAAACCTTAGAAATTTCTATAACATTATTTCTAATAGTCATTTATCTATATATATAAACTGCCAGCTGTGTAATGTAATACCACATGACAGAGGGATTAATCTTGAAGAATCTATGAACCACCTCCTCTTATAAAAGATGAATGTGACAAGATGCACCAAAAACTAGATAAACCAAGACTATTAAAAACAAACAGAAGGAAAATGGGAGTAAAGTGCTGCTCCTGGAAAAGCCTTAGAGTTTAAGCTAATGCAATATATATCCACAGAAACCTTCAAGTAAAATATAGATATTTATATAAGAGTTGATTCTAAACAAAGAGTTGCTTTGTGTAGATAACTCTTACAGTTAAACCAAATATTCCTTTAAATGTGATCAAGTTTTTATGAGTCTGTAGCACAAATTCTAAGAATAAGACTTTGATATGATGAGAAAAAGATTTTCAGGTAGTTAACCATCCCTTTTCAAAGGGTCCGACATAATATTTCTATCTCTGCCATATTAAAGACACATAGTACACTGAAACAGTAATTCACACCAAAAGAAGATCAAATTAATGTATCTGAATTTAACCATTCATATCCATTTCATTTTCTTCTAGTAAGACTCACACTATAGAAGTCTCCATAAACTTTAAACTCTTTGAACATTTTTAGTCAACAATTACTCTATTTCTCCTTTACAAGTTAAATAATTGGGATAATTTTTCCATTAAACACTTTAAAACATCAAGAAGTTTCATGTACTTACTTGGAGTTGAGGACCCATTGATTGGGGGTTCGCATATCAACTGGGCTTCAATTTCATTCTCTGGCTTTTCAAATTTCTCAGAATTTCTTGTTTGGTTAGATGACGGAGAGGTATTTAAATTTCCACTTTCAGCACCAGACGTGATCAATTTTGCTAACTTTATATTTAAAATAAACAGTAACTTTAATATACAATGTTTTGTTTTACTCATATTACCCATATAATTTTTGCCTACTTTTCCCTTTTTTCCCCAGTATGTAGGTTCAGGGAAATGAAGGAAAATAAGAAGGGATATAGAAGAATAAAAAACAGATGAGAACTAGAGGCAAAATAAACTAACTTTTACTAATCAAAAACAATCTCGGCAATAACATGATGAGGAAAAGTTCATATACTAAGCACCTGCAGTTGAATACCATTTAAAATAGCGATAACTGGCAAAAACAAAAACAAAAACAAAAAACAACCATACACACACACACGCATGTGGTAACTAGTCAATAATATTTGTAAAATAAAAGATGTTTTTGTACTTCTTGTATGGTATCTTTTCAATATTCTAAACAATAAATATGAAAATACAGACATATTATACACCTAACTATCTTGGCATTCCTGGTAACTTTTGATCATTTTGAACCTTACCTGAGAAATTAAAATTCTATATTATACACTGTATTTTAGCAGAAAGTAACAATGATAAATTCCATTCTTAACACAATCAGTTTGCTCTAATGACTTAACCACCAACTTGATGTTGTATGCTGCAATGGAAATACATTTTAAAAGGATTTAAGGATAAAAGTGTTCTTGCACAGATAGATATATCAAGTATCTCATCGTAGAAAAATAGTGTAACTTTCCATCTGCTGTAACCTTCAACACATCCAAAGTGAGATTTCAAAGTATTCTGTAGTTATTCAAAACTGACATCAAGACTTATGAATAAGTGCATAGCACTGTTAATAAGTAGGATACATACACTGGCAGCGCCCGCCTTCTAGTGATAAACACATACAGTGAGTTCAGTATCACTTTTAGGCAAATACCTGTTTGAAGGAGTCTTTAGATTCCTGTTTTCCCATATATATTTTCTTAGACTCAGCTGTCAGATCATGATTTTCATTTTCCTCTTTCCCTGGAGATTCCATAAAGACATTAAGAGGACTTGAATGCAATACCAAAGGACTTGAAGTTACTGGATTTTTTCTTGGAGGAAACACTGAGTTCAACTGCGGTAGAAAGTCAAAGCCTGGAAATGAAGAGGAAAAAAACTGCACACGATGCCCCCAATCTTGGACACTGAAGAAAAGCACTTAATATGATAGGCAGATTAGGTCTATCATATTAGACCTAATATGATAGGATCTACATTCTAAAGACTGGTTTCTCAGATATACCCTATAATTGATATGTATTCTTAGGCAAAAGTCTTAAACTTTCTGTGACTATTTCCTGATCTGCAAATGTGAATGATGATATCCATCACCCAGAGTAGTAAGGCTTGAAAAGTATTATTTGTAAAAATACTTTGAAAACAGCAGAACACAATGTTTTAGTCAGTATTAATTTCTGATAACTGAAAATTGTTAATTTGGCATATCTCTATGGTACGTATCTTGGAAGGCAGTCTCTGAGATGGCTTCTAACGACCCCTGCCTTTGGCGTCCCCATCCTTGGGTAATCTCCTCTCTTTGAATGTGGCTTGGACCTAGTAACTTGCTTTTTTTTTTTTTTTTGAGACGGAGTTTCGCTTGTTACCCAGGCTGGAGTGCAAATGGCGTGATCTCGGCTCACCGCAACCTCCGCCTCCTAGGTTCAGACAATTCTCCTGCCTCAGCCTCCTGAGTAGCTGGGATTACAGGCGTGTGCCACCATGCCCAGCTAATTTTTTGTATTTTTAGTAGAGATGGGGTTTCACCATATTGACCAGGATGGTCTCGATGTCTTGACCTCATGATCTACCCGCCTCGGCCTCCCAAAGTGCTGGAATTACAGGCATGAGCCACCGCGCCCGGCCAGTAACTTGCTTCTAACAAAAGTACTATGAAAAAGTAGTGAGATACCACTTCCAAGATTAAGGTTATCAACATAGTCTTAAGAGAGGGCTACCATTTTGGATGCCCTCTCAGATTATCTTGCTCACCAGCTCTAAGGGAAACCAGCTGCCATGCTGTCAGCTGCCCCATGTATAGAGAAACTCATTGGCATGGAACTGGTATCTCCAGCCAACAGCCAAGGGCATGAGCTTGGAAACAGTTCCTTGCCCAGTTGAGCCTTAAGCTGAATGTAGCTCTGGTTGACATCCTGATTGATGCATGAAGAGAAACTTGAAGGCAAAGGTACTCAATCAAGTTATGCTCAGTTCTTGACCCACAGAAATTATGAGATGATAAATGTTTGTTTTTTTAAGCCTCAAAGTGTTGGAAAGATTTGTTACACCACATAGATAACACCATATCGCTTTTCATTTTCACGAAAATACTCCTAAGTAATTCTTACCATCTTTTTTGCCTATGGATTCGTCACCTCCCTTGTTCACTACAGCATCTATAACAAAATCAGAAAATTGTATTTTAAAAATAGTGAAAAAGAAGCCATATCAATTTAGTCTTTCTATTCATTCTCCAAAGAGTTCAGAGACTAACAATCTTAAAAAGCTAAATATGAGTGAGGTTAAAGGTAGGAGTACTCATTTAAATTTTTCTTTTACATTCTCTTAGTTTCATTCATACTTTAGCAGCAAATATGAAGATAATCCTATAGTACAGTCAGGTAATAAGGGAGCCAGGTAGAGTATAACAAACCCTGGGGTAGGTTTGGAGAGCTATAATCCAGTTCTGCCTATACCACGCTTTGTGACCTCAGACAAGTCTCAAATGCAATTAAATTTCAGTTTCTGCATCTATAAAATGGGGATCATGTCCTGATAAACTCATAAAATTGCTTTGAGAGGATCAACTGAAGTAATATAAAAAAATGTTGCAAAGCAGTACAATGTTATAAAAAAGTTTTATTAGTGTTTATTCCAATGGTAGAATATGTATAAGACTATTTTAATCCTATAATATTCATTTGCTAGTCCATAACAAAAATTATAAAACTCAACATTAACAGGTAAATAAAAAGAATGGGCAAAAATCATTAACAAATTCACCAAAAATTCAAGTGGCCAATAAACACACAATTATATCAGGAGAAATATCATCTATGTGCATGTGCATATATATGTACCCAGTAATCGCACAGCATGTACATGCAGGCTTTTAGAAATTATTAGTTTCTTCATCAATAATGTGGAACCACGATGTATCTGAAGATCATATGACTCAAATGCTAATCACATTTTTAAACATAGCAAAAGTAATTAAAGAAAAACTTTGTCTTAAAAACTATGAAAGAGAATTTAATTTGTAACTTAAACACTTCCAAAAAACCCCTTTGTACATTCTTCAATGCAAAAGTTACTCCAGAGGAGTCTCAATGGCCAAAAGTCCCAACTCAGCACTAACCCCAGAAACGTTTCTCAACTCCAGCACTAGTCACTTCTCTCTCCACCCACATCTGTCCTCTCTCTACTCTTTACTATGTAGTTTGATTTCTCTTTACTCTTTATGTAATTTGACTTCTCTTCAACCTGAAGAAAAGAATCCTTCCTCTTTCAGTTTGACTTAGCAATTTAAATAGAAGTTTGCAGACCAGGGTAAGGTAGAAGATACTTAATAATTCTATACTGCCACATATGTATTTATTCCTTCTGACTATAAAATTGTAGAAAACTTGGAAAAGAGACAATTTTAAAGTAAAAAATGAAATTGTACAAAATAATAAGTGGATGAAACAATTTTGACATCCTGCTGTTGACACAGTACACTTATAATAGTAAATACACAAATCTTTGTGGGCTTCTCTGAGTATTTTCTGAGATAAATTTGTAAAAATGAAATTACAAGGCCAAAAAGTATGAATATATTAACTCTGCCAAATTACCCTCTAGAAATTTATCCATGTTATTGGTAATATAGCTATTAGCAATTAGATAATTCCATTACACTAAGAAAACCATTATGAATGTCAGTACCAAAAAGGCACACTTAAACAATGTACTTAGCTCATATACTATGAACAATGACGTATAATGCTTCTATTTATCAAGCTGGCAAAACTTGTTTTTTATTATGGCAACTGTTTTTATGGGGTGGGGGAGGTGTACACATACCCAAAGCAAATTTTTTTAATTAGGAAGACTTTTTTGCGTATCAAAATATCTAAAATTTTAGGAACATTCGTTTAGAAGTAGATACAAGGGAAAGATTACCTATGAAGGTAAAAAATTCCTTCAAGAAACTTTTGTGGAAATTAAAATGCTAACTTGAGAGCTATTTGCATAATTCCCAAGTGAAAATTACTAGCATATATTTTAGAATAACATTTAAAATATCAGGGCAAAGAAAAAGATACCACCCCAGAGATGGAGAAAATTAGAAAACTGCCATGAATAGAATTGGACTGAAGCTATTATTCACATCTTTTAGCCAGAATAAAAATATTGACTACCAGCAAGAGAACAAGATCCTCTGAACAGACTTACCATCCCTGATAGGTGAGAACATGTCGCCTAAACTACTTTTCCCAGTATCGTCAAAGCTGGAGAAATCCTGATTTTTTCCACTGTCTGTTTCCTTAGATAAAGTGTCTGTGTTTATGCTTCGAGGCAAACCTTACAGGAATTAGATATAAAAATTAATGTTATTACATCTAAATAAATTTTATCATCAGAAGCTAGGTTGTAAAAATTGATGCATTACCCATATTGTTGGTAATATTACAACTGTGAGCATAAGGAGAATAAAACAGAATATGACAAGAGCTAAAGTTAACCAGGATTTTCATGGAACAAAAGGTTCCTCAATAGAAAACAGCTTATTTGTTCATACGGCAAAACTTTATTTCAGCCCTTTTGATGGAATTTTTCTAAAATAATTTATATATTTTTCTGCTTTCTTAAAGTACACTGCATACAACTATTGACTGACTCTTATGATAATCTACAAATGTAATTTTTTTTTTCAGTCTGTAAGTCATATAGAGCAATGCCTAACATGTAGCAGGACTCAATTAATGTTACTTTTCTCCCCTGATTTGCAATGAAGGGGTTTTCTGTCTTTTCTTTCACTAACAGTGGGAGTGTAACATTGCCCTCAGCATTACAGGTCTCAAATGACTTCACTAACCTCCATACTTTACAAAGAGGAAGCAAACCAGAACACCAAACTCATAAAGAACAGTATGGTAGACAACAGTAAAGAGACGGGAGCAGTTTCTTTTTTCTGACAGTATATAAATGCATGGCTTTAGGGTAAGGACTTTCTAAGAGGAACTCAGGAGGCTCGGTAGCTTCTGGCTCACTATTGGAGTAAGGATAAAGTTATAGAGGTTCAAAATTTTTGATTAAAGTCTGGCATCAGGATTGGTAACACGTTATTGTATTACATTTTTTTTAAAAGTGCTTTATTTGGCATCTCAGGCCCAAATGAAAACTGAAAAGTCTGAGATGAAAACAAAGAACAGCCTGCATATCCAAAAATGCCCAAGACTGGCTAATAAAATAAACTTGTCTAATAATACCTGCTATAAAGTCAAAATATTACCAAATCATTTGTACTATTGTTGAAGAGTGCCTATAGCAAGAGTTCAGTTGTTACAAAGAAGTAATTTTTTCTCCTATTTTCTAGTACTTAAAATGTTGAATGCATTCACTCCAGCCTCTGAAATTTCAGGAAACAGAAGTTGGCATCATTTGAAAAGAGTGCTGAAGTCTTATTCTTTTCTTCTTAAATGGTGATTTTCTTCTAAAACTGAGTACCAGCAACATGTTTAGAGAAGTCTGTTGGAATAACTAAATCAGGACAACTTCAATAGAAGCAATAACTCTAAAATATTAAATAACATATTAGTGTGTATAGGAAAAAAATGACACCCGAAAGGTTAAGAAAATTGCCTAAAGGCCTCCTGGCCAGAAGTGACAGATCTGAGATCAAGTCTAACTATTCTCACTATTTCCGAGGCAAAGTAAAGTGAGTGAGTGTGTGTGTGTGGGGGGGGGGGAGGGGAGAGAGAGACAGAGAGAAAGAGGAAGTGAAAGAGAATGATGAAGCAAATGTGGCAAAATGTATAAAGTACATCTAAAGGGTAATGCTTGGAGCTGTCTGTACTATCCTCAAAACTTTTCTGTAAGATGACAGTCATTTCAAAATACAATTAATACACAAGCATGGTTAACTTGGTGGAGGCAGGGCACTCATACACTTTGCTAGAAATATTGGGAATCTATCAAAAGTTAACATTAATCTGTGACCCTGCAAGACCCGTCTTTGATTTCCAAATTAATGTTGTTTTTGTTAAACAAGAGCCTCCTTATAATAAAACTAAATGAATAATGGTGAGACTTCAAAGAGTTTACAGTGAATGAGAGAATATTTTGATTAATTTTTGAAAATTATGAAGACGGCATTATGTAAGATAAAGGCAATTTTCATAATATAGTTAATTAAACATGTTGGCAGATGTTACTCAAAGTTATATTTCAACAATAATTTCTTCTTTAAGTAGATATCAATTGTCTTTGTCTCCAGGAGTTCCTAAATAAGAATCTAATTATTTTTCTAATATTTAATGACTCTTACATAAGGATGATATAAATATTCAAAGGAAATTTATAGTGAACATACTTACTTTAAAATACTATTTCACACTATCAAGATCAACAAATTAAAGTTTTGCTTCTACTTGGAAATAGTAAAATCATACTAAAAAAACACCAATATTTTTGTCCAAGTATTTATCCTGAAAAATTTGAAAAACATAGATAGATGTATTTCTAATGAGCACAATATTTTGGAAACATACTAGTATACCATGTAGATTTTTAAAGTATTCGTTGCAAGTTGACAGTATAGCATAACTTCTTAAAATAAAAAGTTTTCAGGAATTTATAGAATATTTTCTTTATTGTGAACAAGGAATACTTTCTACAATAAGTATGGGAAAGCTTATGGCACCTCAATAAAGTCTAAATGAATCCTATTTCAGAACAGTTTCATCAATAACATCAGAGAAGAAATCATTAAAAATTGCAACATTCTCATTTATTTTTAACAAATTACTAATATACTGCTTAATATGTGCCAGGCACTATTTAGCACTTTAAAATATTCATCACTTGACTTACTTTTCATTCTAAAATGTGAAATAAAAAGAGCCATTATAATAGCTCTTCTTTTTTTTTAACAAGGAGATCAAATCACTGACAGCATCAAAGTTTCATATTCTCTACTGGTTAATCTGAAGACACAATGGAAAAGCCATTCAGTCTGCAGTAGTATTAGGGAAGAATAATTTCTCAGTTAGCCTCCTTCCATTTTTAAGATAATATTTCTCACAACAGAAGTTTAGCTAAACAGTAGGGCCTTTTAATATTTTTGAAATTAATAGCTAAAGTTACTATTTCACTTCTTAGTGATTTTCACTTCTACTAATTTTACCTAAATACTCACCTGAATTTGGATTCTAGGTTCTTGAAAAATGTGCTAATCATATGTAGACCAAAAAAAAAAAAAAACCTTCCAACAATATTTAAGCAACATTTACCTGCTTTTTCTTGAATAGCAACTGTTCCTTTCCCCACAACTGATGTCACAGGTTGTGGTAGAACCGTGGCAACGGATATGGCAGGTGCTTCTCTGACAATTCCGGAATTCTGAACTCCTCCACTAGCAGCATTCACATTAACACTTCGTTTGTTCACTGCTGTGGGCTTATTTGAACAGCCTTTATTTAAACTTGACTGAAATGTAATGGAATATTTAAAAGCTCAGGTTACTAATGTTTCATACCATACATTAATATTTTATAAATTCTCTGTTAGATTAAAAAATATATTTTTTCCTTGCAAATCTTAAGCTTGCTGATGGATCTCAGTTTTGCTCTAAACGAAAACATCTTTTAAAAGACTTTTAGAGAAAGAGAGATATGAGAACTAAGTACGAAGTTTTAAAACTAATTATCAAATGGCTTTGTACTAAAATTATTATGTACTACATGTAAAGTCATTTTTATGTAATTATGAAACAAAACTATACTGTATTTAATTGATAACATAATTTCCATATTCTGAGTTAGATTTATTTAATAAAATCAAAAATAAGAAAATGTCTTACCTTAGTAAGAGCAGTGGAGTACTGAAATGCTATACATTGCACAGATGTCTTGTGAGCACTGATGGTTTTAACTGGTGATTTCAACATTCTTAAATCATATTGATATATTTTCCCCCGGGAAGATCCAATAGCCAAAGCGGCTCCATCAGGCATGAAATCCACCGCAGTTAGAGGAGTGTCAGCCACTAAAGTTTTCACCACCCTTTGGAAAGGAGAACAAACTATGTGTAGCTATGTTAGTGTGTATAGGTATATAAGCTTATATAATAACTATAAACCAAAACCAGAGTTATTAATACTTCAAACTAGCAAAGAGCACATATATCCCAAATATTTGTTTAAAGCATAATTTTAGAATTTGACTTAGAGAAATTTCTAATAAAATGGCATGTAGAGAACTGCCAAAAATTCCATCTTTTCTATTCACTAGGTATATTCCACATCTTATAGAAACAGCACCTATTTCTTTATTACTCTGGCAGTGAATGTAGCAGAACTACCATCTGTTACACCACAAACAGAGGCTCTAGCCTCAGGACTGAGGAGGCCCTAAGTATTCCCTTTCCATTTATTGACCTGCCTAGGCCTCAGGAGGATTATGACCTTTCACAGGGGAGCAGCTGTTACTCTATTCTTAGTTGTGCAGTCTTGACCAAAAAGCTAGGAGGAATATAATTCACAAGCTTGATCCTTAGGCAGCTAATAAAGAAATATGGATGCTGATCTGCTCAAGCTGAGCTCTTTACTGGTCTGTCTAGTATAAGAGAAGAATGGCTTACCAGGCTCTCAGTAAATTGTTCCATAAAAGAAGACAGCAAATAAGTAACAGCAAAAATTCTAGCATCATAACAGGGCTGACAGTAAGCCCTTCCCTTGTAGTAACATTCATACTCCACATGATCTGCAGTGCTAAGCATCTTGAATACAACTCTCGCACTCTTGCAGTTCTTTTGTTTTGTTTTGTTTTAGCTAACTGAGCATACCTTTAACATGAGAAGGGTACAATGGGCCCAAATGCTTAGAAGATTATGCATACCTAGCAGTATTTCTCAAGTGGAAGCAACCAGAAGACATCTGGCAATGTCTGGACACCATTTAGGTTATTGGTGTTTAGTGAGCAGAGGCCAGGGATGCTGAGTATCCTACAATATCCAGGACAGTCTCTCACAACAAAGAATTACAAAGCCCAAAATGGCAATCATTTCTAAACCTTCCTCTAGATAATCAATTTTAAAGCAAATTAATCATTTGTGTTAAAAACATATACATGTCATATTTTGAAAAAGATGCTAAAATTGAAATGTGAAATCAAGGCCAGCACGGTGGCTCCTGCCCGTAATCCCAGCACTTTGGGAGACCAAGGCAGGTGCATCGCCTGAGGTCAGGAGTTCGAAACCAGTCTGGCCAACATGGCGAAACCCCACCTCTACTAAAAATACAAAAAATTAGCAGGGTGTGGTAGTGGGCACCTGTAATCACAGCTCCTTGGGAGGCCAAGGCAAGAGAATCGCTTGAACCCGGGAGGCGGAGGTTGTGGTGAGCCGAGATTGCGCCATTGTTCATGTTTCAGAGCTCTAAATACTACCTGCACCCCATCTATTTTTTTTCTGCACAAGAAGAAAATTCTATTTTACTAGATTCATCAACTGTACAAACTTTAGAACCCCTCAACATTAATCAGTGGTCTATACAAATCACAAATATGCCTGTTAATGGAATAATAGTTATTTGTTACTAAATTAAAAAATAAGCATGTCACACTTACTTCTTACTTGAAGTGTCATAGAGGATGATTCTTTTATCCAAGCCTATGGTTACAAAGAGCAATTCATTGACAGGAGAAAAACAGATGCCTGAAGCTGGAGCTTTGTGTGCACTGTCAAAGTTATGGTATGGACTCTGACTATTTACATCCCAGAGAGTTACTATTCCATTATCTGAAACACTGCCCAGTAGTGATTTCTTAAACAAGGAGTACTTCAAATGCCGAACAGACTATAAAAATGAAAGAATAAATTTTATGTAATTATAAGCATTCATAAGGACATTTTATATAAGCCATATAAATTACGGCCAATCACACTATTCACATGGGGTTTAGGATTTCTCTGATGTCTGAGAGTGACAGGTTTTGGCCAGGTGTGGTGGCTCACGCCTGTAATCCCAGGACTTTGGGAGGCTGAGGCAGGTGGATCACCTGAGGTCAGGAGTTCGAGACCAGCCTGGCCAACCTGGTGAAACCCCATCTCTACTACAAATACAAAAATTAGCTGGGCATGGTGGCGGGTGCCTGTAATCCTAGTTACTCAGGAGGCTGTAGCAGGAGAATCACTTGAACCTGAGAGGTGAAGACTGCAGTGAAACAAGATCCTGCCATTGCATTCCAGCCTGGGTGACAGAGCACAATTCTATCTCAAAAAAAAAAAAAAAAAAAATCCAAAAAGTAAAAAAACAAAACAAAAAAAGAGTCACAGGTTTCAATCATGACAACCACAGCGTCATTACATGAACCATAAGATGACATACCAATACCTGAAACATACCAGTAGTCTATTAATAAAGTACTTGTCATTTTATTATCTTGGAGTATAGCTACCTCAATCTCCCCTTTCAGAGGAGAAATTTAATACATTTAGATTATCTATGTTAATTCATCAGAATTAGAACATCTACCATACATAAAAGGCCTATTAGTTACAGCCAAATCACGAACAAGTATAAGGGAATGCTGGGAGAAAAAAGCAGTAATATTTTGTATTTGTTTTCTATACTTTAGATATTTTGATACATTTGTTTAAATCAGAGCATCTGATGCACTGACAATTCAACACTTGAAGCATAATTTAAAAAAATAAATAAACCACAAAGGAAAAACTGGCAACATTCTAGACTGGGGATAGACTATATCCATTGTTTCAAAAGCATCAGCCTGAGGGCAATGTTGGCCTTTCTCTAAACACAAATCCCTGATGTTGTCATCCCTAGGTTGTTCCAGTAGCTGTCACACTAGGCTGAGAATTAAGTACTTTACATTCAAGCTAATTTTTCCCTATAAATGTATATTCTACTTAATTCTAAAATGTTTCAAATAATATGAATTCGCTCTCAACAACAAAAAATGTTTAGGAATTAACAGAAACCAAATTCTAAGGAAAAAAAAAGGAATATTAGTTACCTGGCACCTAAGTTAAGATAATTAATATGTTAATCCATTAAACTTGGCTCATTTTAATAAGGCAAAAGTACAAAGAGAAAATATTAGTTTACATAGTTTTTATTTTTGTTGGGAAAAATTATATACACTTGAATAGACAAATCTTTTCTCTGGTCTGTATTCAAGAAAAAATAAACTACATAAATGTTAACTATATAAAAAACAAAGAGCTCCTTAGTGCATTATGTTAATGATTACAGAGTCATACAAATATGACTATCAAAATATAAGGCAAAACATGATTTCTAAAAAGATTTCTACAGCACTTTAAGAGTTCATATAGTTACGGTCCTTCACATATCTAAATTTGGATAAATACACAAGTAGAATTTTTAAAAGCACCATAAAATTGCAAACCTGGTAGATTCTCAAAGTTCATAAAGCTTGACCTCTTAGCCACAGCGGGAATTTTACTAAGACAGCCTTCAAACACAGTTATCCAGAATCTGCTTGCATGTATCAAGGAACAAGGAGCTTACCATTGTCTACGACACAACTTTATAAACAGTTAAAAAAGTATTCTTGATTAAGAGAAAACCTAAATTCTGTACCTTACTTCATTTCTTGGGACCTACATGGCAGCCCATTACAAAAAAAAAAAGGCTAAAGATAATGATAAATGTTCCTTTCAGATAAACCTAAGTTCAGTGAATGCTCAGCAAACCTCTATATGATTTAGGTGAATTACTTAAAACTCTCCAAAACTCAGAGTTCTCATTTACATAATAGAAAATACTCTTGTTTGCCTGTCACAATTATTTTGAGGATTAAATAACACAATTATTTTGAGAATTAAATAGCATTTCTGCACAGAATCAGGTACACAGTAGCTGTCACCACCATTTTCAGAGGTTCACAATTTTCTTGCTCATCATTGCTTATGTGCTCACCATCAACCAACTTTTACATATTTTTTAAAAAGACCCTTAAGTAACCACACTGAATTCTTTAAATGCCTCCAATTATTTATTTGATAATACTAACAATTTCATTTCTTAACTCTCTACATCTATTAAATCTTCTCTTTGGATTATCATTAAGATATTAGCTAAGAATCCTGAATAAACAAAACACTGATTTCCTAAATTATATATGTATTTATATATTATACAGATAATTTATATATAAATAAATTTAGCGCGCGCGTGTGTGTGTGTGTGTGTGTGTGTGTGTGTGTGTGTATTTTTTGTGGGGGGGGGGATTTTTTTTTTTTTTTTTTAAGAGACAGGGTTTCACCATTTTGTCCAGGTCTCCCAAACTCCTGGACTCAAGCAGTCCACCTGCCTCAGCTTCCCAAAGTGCTGGGATTACAGTCATGAGCCACCACGCCTGGCCTCCAAATTATATTTAAAATAAATTATTAACTTACTTCAGTATCAGCAGCACTTAAGTCATTAAGTCCCTATTTTGTTCCAGACTAAACTATTTCTAAGAAAAGAAGTAAATCAAGAAGCTTATGGAGGGGAAAAGAAATCCCAGCACTGTAAGTAGCAATGCTGTTTTTTTCTTATAACACATTATTGTGTAAGAATGCTGCATGTTTGTTGAGGAGGGAGATTGTTTCTAAATATAAAAAATATACTGCTCGCTGTAGGTGAGGGGAAGGTTTGGAAAACTATTGCTAAAGAGCCAGACAGTAAATATTTTATGCTGTTTACTGAAAAGTAGTTACAGACAATATATAAATGAAAAGTATGGCCCTGTTCCAATAAAACTTTACAAAACTAAGTGGCTGGACCATAGGTTATTGTTTGTCAGTCTCTACTAAGATAATTATTTAATAGAAAAAAACATTTTGATCACAAAGAAAAAGAAAAATCATCCATAATCCCATCACTCAGAGAAAAACTGGTTGATATTTTCAGGGAATATCCTTTAAGTATTTCTCTGTGTGTATGTATGCTTCTATGTATGCAGTAGAGTATCAACAGGAAACCTGGAATCACACTTTATTATAAACAGCCATGTCAATGTTTTCTACATGATATTAATGGCTGAGGAAAGACATTAATGCATGATTATACCAATTTATCTAAATAATACGTCAGACATTTAGGTTACTTCTGATTTGCAAATACTCTGATTACTATCCACTTTTTTAATTGTTAATTTATGAAAAAAATTATTGTTATTCATGCCTTAAAGGTTTTTGCTTGAAAATATGAAATGACCATTTGTATTCCTTCTTTTGCAAATTGCTCATTATTGTACTTTGCCTGTTTTCTGTTGGGCTATGAAGAATTTTAAAATACTAATTTGCAACTGCTCTTAATATAGTAAGAACATTAATGCTCTCATACATCGTAAATACCTTCCCCAGTTCATTTAAATTTTGTTGAATTTTTGTCTTGCTTTTTGTCAGAAGTTTTAAAGTTTTATATATTTAAACTTATCAAGCTTGCTGCCAGTGACTTATGCTTTATACTTCTTCATAGTTATGCTTAGAAAAGCATTCCCTTTGCACAGATAAGAACATGCATTCACATCATTTTCTTACTAGGCACTATAAAGCAGTAAGAAATTAATATAAATGTCTTAACATACATATGCATATAAACACAAATATATGTCCATAAATACACATATTGTTCCTCTGACTCCATCCTTTCCATCTTCTTGATTTCCAGGGCCTTATTTCAAGCACAAATCATCTTTCATCTAAGCCACTGCATAGTTATTCTATTTCCATTCTCAGTGGCTTACTATCCATCCTCCACTATGTTACAGCAAGTAACAACTTCAAACCTGAAAATCTCAACATACTGGTCGCTTGCTCAAAATCCTTTCAATGGGAGGTCTCTGATAAGTTACTGGTTACAGTGGTGACCGAGTTTCTGAATGTCCATTAATACTGTGTGTGCGTGCATGTGTGCATGCGTGAGTGCGTGTGTGTGTAGAAAAGCAGGCCTGAGACTGCCTATCTTTAAAAAGTCCTATTTTCAGAGTTGACCCTTGGCTAGCATCTGCGAACTTGGATTCTGGAAAGGTTCCCACTGTCTTAACTAGTAAGAGTGGCTCACTCACTGTGCCTAAACTTATTTATGACAGATATGGTTTAAGGCTGAACCACAGCTGAACATCTTATTTCCTTCTGGGTGTTTGGAATTTTGGTATGTGCCAGGCAGAGGGCTCCAACCCCCAAGTAAAAACCCTTGGCACTGAGGCGCTAACAAGCTTCCCTGGTAGGTATTTCATACATGTTGTCACAATTTGATCTTGGGAGGGATTAAGCACATCTGCTCCAGGAGAAGACTTTTGGAAGCTCACATCTGGTTTCCTATGTTATTCACCCCATGCACTCTTCTCTTTGCTGGTTTTACTTTGTATTCTTTCACTATAAAATAAATCATACCCATGAGTATGACTATACACAGATCCTGTGAGTCCTCCTAGAGAATGATCAAATCTGATCTTGGAAATCCCTAACAGAGTGAGAGAGTAAGAGTGAAAGTGAGAGAGAGAAAGAGAGACAGAGAGAGAGAGAGAGAGAGAGAGAGAGAGAGAGAGAGAGAGAGAGAGACTGACTGTGTGTGTGTTTTACAACAGATAATAAACTAGATGGCCAAAAACTAAAATTTCATAGACAACATTTCGAACAAACTAGATGATCAGGTATTCCCATGAACCCCCAAATACAGGCTGATAGGCCAAACAATTAACAGCCATAAGTCCTTCATGGTACTCGTGTCTGTACAGAAGAAAGCAGAGGAAATAACAAGGAATCTGAAACAGATCTGAGAACAGAAGAAGCCCATAACAGCCAAAACGTATTCACAGAAAA